ATTCAGGCTGATTCCCCCAAGATATTATTTTTAAAATTTTGAGATTTAATTGCATTCATTGCTGTAAAATTTGGCCTTTGCTTAAAAAATTGTAGATAAATTCACCAGCCTTTGTTCTTCATGCTGTTAAATAATTGTGACTAAGTACTTTAAAAAATTAATTACTTGTGGGTTTATTCTCCCCAAAATTGATAGTTTTATAGTGAACATGTAGCAAAAGAAGAAATGATTTTTTGTTATATTTCTAAAACAACACAACTTGTCCAGTTTTATTCTAGACCCTTTATTTGGAAAATAGTCAAAGGGCATACTACTTCAAATGCACCAGCTGCTCTCCAGGAAAAAAAAAAAAAAGATGAGTTGTCTCCTTCCTTGTTTTTTATAACCTCTGAAAACTCACTAACATGTGAGCTATGAGTTGATTCTGACTCAATACATATAACAACAACAACAGCAACTGTAAATTTCGAGTTATCTAATCTTTATGCCTTTTGTGATCACAGGAGGAAAAGAGAAAATTTTCTTCTTTCTCAAATATCATGTACACATAATCTATTTCTTACATTTTAACACGATGATATGGATAATAGGGAGACTTTTTGGTTGTATCGTTATGAATGGAATTTTATAATGGTTACACTAATTCAAATTCCTTGTGAAAAATACCATAAACGATATATTATCAGTATATAAACTATGTATTATCAGTAGTTTGAAAATAAACTTAAAATAATATTAAGCATATGTTAAACAAAACTCAACAAAAACAGACTTACCTTGGATATAGAGAATCCAAGTTAAGAAGTTTATATATATGGTACTGAGTAATTTTGATTGGCTGATTACTCCTGCTTGTTTACATCATTGTCGAAGACACAGCTTTACATAGTCTCAAGCCATGTAGTCTTAATTAGTCTCAAGCCATTTTTAGAACTTCTAACTAAATGTCCTTTATAATTGTTCGGTGATATCTATACCAACAAAATATCTTCTTCGGAGCAGTGCCACATTAGGTGGAAAGCTACTTTTGACAAGGAAACAAAAATGTAAATGTGTTCTAAAGGGTAAATGAAGAAATAAAAGCAAAACAAAACAAACCAAACACATTTATTTCAAGCTTTGATAAATCTTAAAACACTTTTAGTGATGATGGGGCAAAAAAAGAGACACTGTTGAAATACAGAATTCCAGAAGGGAATGAAATGTTGAAGATAAGACTATTGTTCTGCTCATTGATATCTTTTTTTGTTTATTTGTTAGTTCATTGATATCTTTGTCCAGATCACATCTGAATTAACTGCCTAAAATAAATAGATGCTTTGGGAAAGTATGTGAAAACAAACATAATAAATTTTACTTACTGAGTATTTCAACATACTTATGAATGCACTCCAAATTTTACATGCATTATTTTATTAATCTTAAGATTAGCATTTTTATTTATGACCTCCTATTTTACAGTAAACAATACTATTTTTAAAAATATGCCTAAATGTAAGCATCCTAAAACATGAGCTGTTCATGATTTAATAGCATACTTTTATGCTTCACAAATTTTATTGTTTTTGTTACATGCCAACAAATCCACTATACACTGTGAACAAAGAACCTGAATCCTGCATTATCCTGTGGTATACTCATCATCCCTGATAGACTTGGCACGTTTGGAAATGCTTAAATTCCTGGAAAGGATTATCAAGTACAGATGCTGGGTCTCTTCCAGTTTCTGATTTAGTAGGTCTGAACTGTGGCCTTAGAATCTAGATTTCTAATGAGATTTCAATCAATACTAATACTGTTCACTATTCATTCAGGTATTACACATTATGCAACTGATTTAAATAAGACTCCCGAAAGTGATATTTTTTTTTGCCCTATTTTCCATTCAGTGGTGGCATTGAAAAATGCTCTGAAAAAAACAATAAACTAGCAGATTCATAATTTAGGGTTGATAGATTTCTTTGTTTTTATCATATTTTACTCTTTACCTCTTCTATGTATAGCCATTATAAATTATTTTCAAGCTCCTGTGTGAAAATATGTATTATAATAAAATGACTAACTGTAATATAAATAGTGACCAAGTTATTATTGCTTATCCAAAGCTAATAAAAAAGGGAAAAGGAAAACTTTATTT